AAAAAAAAAACGTTCAGTGTTTGCAATTATCTATACAAATTGCTAGATAAGTATCTAGATGAAGAAATGGCTTCGTCTTATCTTTATGTAAATTGTTAGAATATGTATTATTTCCATCTTTATCTTAAATTAAAAAAGTGCTATTTTTCAAATTATCTTATATTAATTGTATTATCCATTTTGCACCAATGTAGATTAATTTTAATCTCGGTTCAACTTTTATACTCTTCATTTTTTTCTTAGTTGTAAAAATTAGAGAAAAATTAAGAGTAAGTTAAATCGAGATTGAAGTTAATGTACATTGGAGGAAACGAGTATAAGATAATTTATATCAATGTATAGCGAGATTAGAATGTAAGATTTTAAAACATCTTTCTTTTTATATATGTATGTAAAATGGACGTTTAATCTTGTTAGATGAATGCTGTCCAGATTTTGTAATTTTGAGCATTGACTTGATGTGTCAACGCTATTGCCTATTGCTTTCTTTTTACTATTTTTAATTTAAAAAAAGAAAGTATATATGTACATACACTGAAAGAAAAGATTAGTTACTGCAACAAATTAAATGGTTAAATATGGCATAGGATTTTTAATTGGCTGTAGCAACCAATTTTTGGTTGCGTTAGTCAATCGAAATCTTATACTGACATTGCGGATAGGCTAATACAACCAACAATTGGTTGCAGCATCCAAAAATTGGCTGTTGCAACCAATTAAAAATGCTATGCCATATTTAACCATCTAATTTGCTGCAGCAGCAAATCTTTTCTTTCAGTGTACACTTTTAATTTTAACATTGAAATAGTTTTATGTTTAAAATTTAAATCTAAACAATTAAATTTTTATTTTTTATCCACATCTCAAATAGATTTTCTTCAAGTATAACATATTTTGTTATATATCAGTGGAGCGTCTTGGCATCAATATATTACTCGAAAATTGTCAGATAAAAAATTTGAAAAATTTTTATTTGTATGTAAGAAATAAAGATTTATATTATAAATATAAAAATGTGTATATATTGTTTCTATGGCTTAAATTATTTTGTTTAAAAACAATATTATCTTAAAATTATCTAGAAGAAATTATTTATAATTTCATTTTTTTATTTAGATAAATAAAAAATGAAATTGTCTTTATCTTACAATGTATTGATGTACAACTTATCTAATTTTTATGTAGATAATTTTGAGTTACCTAAACGGAATATTGTTCATAATTGCATACCTGAAATCAGAAATTTCTCTAAGCGCAACAAACAAATAAGGATAGAAAAATAACGCATAATATCTTGAGAAATTAATAATTTCATTAGGAATTAGAAATATTTAGGATATGAATACAAATTCAGAGAGATCATTTTTATTGCAACCAGAATGAATTGGCGCTTCTGTAGGTCCTCCAGATAGGTTTCACGACATCGCTTTAAGATGATGCGCATGACAAGTTATATTCACGTACGAATGACAGGTATACTCACATATGCAGCACACGCCAAAACCGAGCGCACACGGTCCGTGAGATTGCCCGCGCTGAATACGGCACTCATATGTGTTCATGCATATTCCCTGACGTCGTTTGTCCTCGGACAGGCACTCTTCTTCGACCGGAACGGGAAAGAAGTTCAGCACTGCGGATAAACGCGAAACGAGTCAAATAAACTGGGAAAAATTCCCTCGTCCGTTCTAACCGTAGACAATGTCACTTTCCGAAATGTAAATAAATGTAGGAAATAGATAAATTGGTTACGCGATTTGATGAAAATCTACAGATACAAATTTATAGAACGTTTTCGAGTAATATATTAAGAAAAAATGTAGTAATTTTAATAAATATTTATTTGAATAGTACCAACTAAACATTTACTTACAGTAAATAAATATTTATTCAATAAAAATAATAAATCAAATTAATGGTTCTTGTACCAAATAAATATATTTTTATATTTAATAAATATTTAGTTAGTACTATTAAAAAAATAATTTATTAAAATTTAGTACAATTCATCAATGTAGAATTATTTGCAATCCGCGTTATTTGCTTAGCGTCTTTTTATTGTATTTAAGTACCATTGCTTTACATTTTACGTTCGAACGAGGACTTCTCCAAAAGGCCTTCAATAAAAATTTAATTTCGCTGTTTTATCAATTTTTACTCGATTTTTTAAATAATTAATTCAAGTGCTGCGAATTAATCAATTATACATTTTTTAGAAATGAAAAGCATTAGATTGATGAAAAAAGCAAACAAGTAATTCAATTGTAAAAATATCATCAAAAACTAATAAATAGCATTTGCACAATTATTTATTGAATCGTATTATATAATTTATCATCATATGTATGTATCATTTAATACGCAGAAAATACATTTGGAAAAGTACCCTCGCAAAATTCTTAAAATTGCATGCACGCTGTAAAGAAAGGGATTTATTCTTTCATTTACATATCTCTCAATTCAGAAAACAAACGCGAATTATTAAAACGTTATTGAGAACTATACAAGGAAATAAAAAAAAGATTTGCTGAAGTATCCAAAATTTAGCTAGATACAGATCTAAAAATAATTTTGTTTGGATTACCAAAATAATTATATAAAACACTCTAAATGGTTGCTAGAATGTTTTGCCATTGACGCTTAAGAGTGTTACATATTTTGATGATCCAACAAAATTATTTTCAGATCTTTATTTGCACTGAGAAAAAAAAAGTTCACTAAATTGATTCAGCTCGTCTTTTTTTCTTTCGATAAAAAGAATATATATACATATTTATGTATTTAATTAAAACATATTATATTTTCTAGCGAAAGAAATAAAGATCGAAGATAAATTAATATTTATATTAATTTAGTCAAATAACCAATTGGTTTAGTCAAACAAGAACAATCTTTTTTCAGTATAGCTAAATTTTTAGATATTTCATCAAAATCGTTCTTTCCGTGTACGAATATTCCTCTTTTCAATTTCTTCACTTCGTTTGTGTAATGTTATAACGTTTGCAATGTACTCACCCCTGGAAAATCGAGTCGCGTCACGTTCAAAGAGCTCGTTAGACGTCGGCTTATCCGTTGCATGATTCGACCAGAGATTCAATCCTAAGAGCGACCATTGGTGTGTGATCTCCGGTAAGGTGAGTAGCACGCTAACGCTACTTAGCGTGAACCAGATAGAACACCATCTCCCCACCGACGAAAACGATGTTCCGGCTACCGTGGCGATACACAAAATAAATATCCCATAGTAGCGTGATAGCATAATCGCGCCTTCGGATTATCGGTACTTGCGAAAACGCATTCCTGATGATAGCACAAAGTCGTAAGGACACATCCACGCTAACAGTGAAGATCGAGGCCGCCGACTGACCGTCAATGGGACCACGCGAATGTGTCAGGCCCACGCATCTCAGGGCCTCTCCTGCCACCGGTTACGATATCCCCGTATGAGTTCCAATACGTTTTCGTATGTAGGTTGATTTTCATTCAGATGACGAAGGATACGTGTCATGACAGTTGTCAATAAATGTGCTTTGATCATATTTAATACAATATTTTGAAATTATATATTTTGAGGTTTTTTTATATAAATCTTCTTATAATATCCCATAGATTCTTTAAAAAAAGGAAGAAAAAAAGCTCTAATTCTAATAATAAAAAAGCAATAAAGAAATAAACTTAATAAGCAAAAATAAACATATAGCAAAAATAAATGGTATATAGTACGTTCGATAAATTGGAACGAAGGAATTATCTTTTCATTTAATTTTGATCGTTTTATTTCAGTGACAAAAATAAAATTATTTATCTCTATAAAATTGTAATTTGCATTTGGTAAGTAGATAAATAATCATTTTATAAAAAATATAAAATTTTTTATGATAATTTTGATATTTTGATAATTGATTCTGATAAAATCGATTCTATTAAATTTAAAAATCAATAAAATTATTTTCTACAAACCTTTTTCATATATCACACTCTTTTATTTTAAAAATAACACAACAAAACATTTAAATTTCCCAAAAAAAAAAAGGGAAACATACTATTCTTTTTACTATAATATAATTAAATGTCATTTTCATTTCACAGTTAAGAAAATTTCCGTTTTGAATTGCAATTTTCATAAAATTAACGATTATTAAAAGTTAATTAACTTTTAATAATCGATAGGGTAATGTTTACTTAACTCATTTTGGTTAATAATTCGAAAATCATTTTAAATTGTATTATTTCTAAAATAAAAAGGTGATATTTTTATAAATTACATGTCTATATTTATTTAAATTTGTAAATATTATAATTTGTAATCTTATTTTTCAATTAATTACAATAATACTATTTTGGTTTTAAATAAATATCTCGGGAAAAAATGTTAATTTCATATATAATTATATAATTATATAAAAAATCGACATATTTTATATACAATTATGTATATATAATTATATATAAAATATGTCTATATATAACATTTTTTCCTGGGACTAAAAATTTAAGTATTATTTACCAAAGAATTAAAAATTCGAAGTTGCAACAAAAATCATCTCAATTAAATTTTTTTTCTACAAAAGATTAATTTTCGCAAATTTAATACAAACTTTATATGTATATATATATATATATATATATATATTCTTTTCACGTTTTTTTTGAATCCCTATTTCTATGCGATTAACTTGTTTAATTCTGCCTTACCAATATACGTTAATACGTAAAATTGTTGTATCATATATTTTCCTGAATTACCATCAAACGATCATTCACAGATTTATTTCAGCGTACGTCATAATGGGTGTGTTCCGAGTTTCGCATGAAGAGCATGATGCATCATTTGTCTTTGTTGTTCACCAAATAATAAAGAAGGATAAAACGATCATCATGCGCTTCATACATAACTCGGAACGCATCCAAAAAAGATGCACTGTCCATTTCGTGTCCATCCTAGTGTATTCTAGGGACATTATTCGTGTTCCATTCAGTCATTGACAAGTTGCAACCTGCATCCATAAATTATAGTTACGCAAATGTGATACGCCACGGATCATGGAAGTACGGCTTTCGCCATGACGATGAGGAAGCTGTTTTACTGTTTTTCGTAAACTAGCTTGAAAGACGGTCAGGCTGTGGCATTAGCAGTCTTACTGAGCGACGGGGAACAGACATTAGGTAAGTCAACTCCGTCGGCTCGCCGAACGTCGTGATATAAAACGAGAATGATCAAGTCAACGATCGGTATCCAAGATGACGTGAGGCGATGAGGTGTTCAATTTTTCAGGGGTCATTTCTCGCCTTCGTTAGTGTTTATGTATCGTCGCGGATACTCCGTTATCGAAACAAGCGTATTTCGCTTCTACGAGGATACGTAATGGTGTAAACGTTGCCGTTACGTCTTAACCTCCTACGTTTGATTGTACGATCTGACTAGATAACGCGCGATCGCGGTCTATCTGTTCCGGGACGAAGTGCCGGATTAAAATATTTACACACACACATACATTTTGTATAACGCGGAGTGTTATACGGTATGGTTGTTGCGAACGATTGACTCGCGGAATATTTTATCTTGTTAATTATCAGTCAATTTGGCGAAGTTAAAGAACGTCTTAACTTTGCCCCACTTGTGATTCCTATGGAAATCAGTTCAGTTTAAGTTGGTGGTTTTTTGGTGGTTTTTTGTAGTGGAACGGTTCTTGGAATTCTAATATTTCTCTTATAGTTGGTAAGTAGCTGGAGGATTGTTCAAATACTTCAGCAAGGTGGTAAATAGCGATTACTCATAGCGATTCGTAAATGCTAAGATAAAACGCCTTACCTTCCCTTGTATGTGAAACATTGTAACTTTATACATAAAAATTATACATAAAAATTATTTTATCTATGTTCGTTATGTAGTATAATACATACATAGGTAGAATACACATTCTAGAATAAGCCGTTACTTAAGCTTTAAATCTTAAGCAGTAAGTAATTGACCAGTCACGGTTGAATATAATAATCAAGTATGATCACTAAACTGTGGATATATTTATGCAAAATACTTAACTGAATGTTTTGCATAAAATGCATATTTTGCATAAATTGCATATTTACAGATGGCAATCTCAATCTTTTTACTTCACCTTTTAATAACACTTTAACGAACAACGATTGACTGCTAAAACTGTCCGATAGTTAATATTCAGTTAAGTATTTTACATAAATATCTGCAGTCTAATGATCACTAAGTAAATTTCTTAGACTTAAGACTCAAAGCTTAGGCTTATTGTAGAAAGCTTATTAGCCGTTTATGCAGTTTCTATATTTTTTTATACTGTATTACAATAGAATCATAAAATCTTGTTTTGAGACATATTTTTTTTTAAACGTACTAGTAGAATGTTGTAAAATTTTAAATGATTTACTAAGTAAATGTGACATAAAATTTTATCTGTACACTTACCATGTCTGACTCCCATAACTTCCTTTATTTTAATTTGTTTGAAGTATCGGAGTTTATATAGTTTGTATTATTTTATATTTATGAGTATAATGAATTTTTAAAATAATGTATTCTGCTTTGTGCCACGTGTTTCTCGCACGTGTGCACATGGAATATGTAAAAGTTCGTAATTTTAATATACTTCTAAAGTTAAGTATGACATCTGTCTTTAACATTTGCGTATGACTGTGTTATATATTGGATATATATGGCACTGTAAATATTGATTTCGATTAAATATTAGTTGTTAGCACATGCGGCAGTAATAATGGTAAGTAAGTACGGCTAATTAAAATTTCCAACTAAACTATAATAAACTAACAAATTTGATACGCTACCAGAAACCGCTACTGCAGGGTTGGCTAATACAATACTGAAACTATATTCACAGATAAACTCGGTGATATCTGTGAATGTAACGTTCGCTTATACTTTATTGGTGCATTATGATTTTCTTCTAATGTGCTTCTTCATAAAAAGTTACCTTCGCGAATTTTGTAAGCGAATCTTGCAATTGCAATTTTGTGCCAACTTTGATGTGCCATGGCCATCACTTTTTTTGGCCTTATAAGATTTCGATATTTTCAGAGAATATTTCTGGTGACCGCGTCATCCGCTATTACGGCCGTACCATGCAGAACTTTGATGATCTCGATATAGAGGGACGTAATCCTTCTCATGTATCAGAAGAGGCTAAAGAAAAGGTAAGTAGAGGATGTGTGATGGCTACAAAAACGATTATGTATATATATAATAATAGTAACGATTGCTATTATAAATTGTGCTAGTATATAATTGTAGTATAATTTCAAACAAATATATCTTGTAAAATATGCAAGTCCAAGTTTCAATCAAAATAATTGTTTCGCACATGTCTGTTATCATGTCGTATACATTTAACGTTCCATTCTCCACAAAAATAGTATATGGACCATTGCGAATTACGGATATTTTTGAGACTAGTATTCGACAACGGAAGATCAATCTGCCTTACGAATCGTTTATGTTTCATAGGAAGAATATGATCGGAAGCGTATAATGCGATGCAGCGTTACCGCCGAAGACGGCGCACTCAGACCCGTTTACTCCGAGACTGAAGATGGTGATATATGGTGTCATATCTGTAACGTTGCTTTATTCGGGGCCCATAAATTGATAAGTCATAATTTGTGTAATCGTCACAAAATGAAACTGGACGAGTGGCCATATCCGGTTATGCTATGGTCCAAACGACCGGATGTGGCCAAGACGATCGCGCCAGTGCAATCTACCGCTACCGATACCCTGGCACCTGGTGAGCCAGTACCACCTGGTATGGAAGATCAAATAACGCGGAGCACATCGATACAGATGAGTTTAGATCGTCATCAAAGCTCGCCACTCGTCGGTCTCGAGTACCTATTGGAGTTGGTGGACAACGACTCCTGTGAACCGAGTTACACGTGTGTTTTGTGCGACAAGCGTGGCGATCCACGTACAGTAATGGCTCACATTACCAGTTACAATCACCGAATCACGTATCTGAATAGACACTTTTCAACTATATCGCGAGCAATTGCGGAGTTACCGCGTACCCCTAACTATAAGCGCGGGGCCAATGAAATTTCGGTGTTAGTGGCGAAAAAAATCGAAGAAAAGTTTGGAAGAATGAAGCCGCAAATGGTAGACAAATCTCAGTTTGAAAAGAATAAGATGCAATATATCAAGAGGGTATATCAGGATGTTCATTTTAAGTAAGTCCAAGTATTCAATCAATATTATTGTCGTTGATCTTCGCAGTTTGTCACTTATATTCAATATGACATTGACATTAATAATACAATGTTCTAATTTCTAACCATTTTGATTTTTTATGTTACTTTATCATATAAAAAACCAATTTGGCTGTTTCCTATATGCAGGGAAACATCAGAGTGTACATTTATGGACGTTTATGATGTGCGATGGGTAACAAATTTTGATGAAAAAATGGCAGAAATGAATGGTAATAATTTAAAAAAGAAAGGTGAGTACACATGCATTATATAACTGTTTTTGAAACAATAATTAAATTTTTTTAATAATAAGATTTTTTTAATCATTGATTTCCATTAAGATTCTCCTGACAAAAAGATTGACGATAAAAATAAAAAAGAAGAGAAGAAAAAGGAAAAAGTAGAAGCTAAAAAATTAGAATCTAAAGGAGAAGTTTCGAAATCGTAAGTAAATAAAATAATAAAATCAAAATATAGATATTTAAAAGTGTGATTAATAGAGAAATTTTTATAAATTTTTTGTTAATATTAACTCATTTCTAAATGAAACTAGTCTGAATAAAAATTTAAGAATGTTTATCAAAAATTTTTCAGTAATTTAACCTGTTTCAAATTTGATTATTTTTTCCTTATTATTATTGTTTATACATCTGTAAATTAACACATAGAAAGATAATATATTTTTATTTTATCATTTTCTGTTAGAATTATAGTTTATGAATACGGATATTTTTTACCTTCAAAATTCTTATTATTTTAGGGGTTTCAAAATGCGTATAGTCAATAAGGACAAAATGAATCTTCGTAAAACCTCACCGAAACCTGAGGAGGAGGATTCAAAAGATTCACTAAAACGACCCTCTGATGACACCAAGTCGCTTTCATCACTTTCGAGCATATCTAGCAGTCCGTCACCATCCCGTTCAAGATCGCGCTCACCAAATCGAAATAAAAGAAATTCCATCGAGAGAAACACAGGAAAGTATCGTAGTAACTTGCGACAGTCACGCGAACGTATCCGCGGCCGATCGCGATCACGATCGCGATCGCGGTCTTTACAGCCTCTTAGGGAACGCGACAAGTGGGACAAATATCGCGAACAAATTAGACGCGCCGAAGAAACACTAGATCGTGCTTTAAAGTTTCACGAGAAGAATCCTGAAAAACATCCGTCTTATCCAGATGAATGGAAAAAATTCTGGAACAGACGGTACAAGGAGCTCCAAGCTGAAGGTAACGATCCAAGCAAGCATGACTTCAAGCCAGAATGGATTGAGTTTTGGAACAAGCGGATGCGCGAGATCCACAATGAGCAGCTTCAGCAGCGAAAAGAAGAGATTAAAAAGAGATTGGAATTACCTGAAGACAAACCGCCAGAGAAGTGGATTCCACCGAGGCGAGAGCGAGAGCGAGAGCGAGATCGAGAGCGGGAGCGAGAGCGAGAACGAGAGCGAGAACGAGACAGAGACCGAGAACGAGAAAAAGAGCGGGAACGTTCACCTACAAAGCGCGGTAAGCATACCATAGAAAGTGACGATGAAGTAGAGTACGTTGGTACGAAAACGGTGGTCAAGCCTGATTATTACGAACGCCATGAAACCAGGGACCGAGATTACGCGTATCCTACGTATCCACGTGGAAGAGGATATAACCATTATCCATCGCGCAGGCAGATATATTACGCAACGCCATATCCTATAAAAGATGACTCGACCACTCAGTCGTCTATCCCGGAAGAAGTATTAACGGAAGATCTTGAAGTAGTCGGTTTATTGCGGTTACTCACAGCGCTTGAAGGACAGTTAGGTTCTCTTGGGCCTAAAATAGTATCGCTTTTGTCGAAAGCCTTAGCGGCTGAGAAAGCAAAGCCAAATTCCGCTGAAGAACTGCTGTATGATGAAGAAGTGAGCGTCCTATTCGAAACCGTCAAAGAAAAACTCAAGGGTCAACTGTTCGCGGGCATGGTAGAGAAAATGGCGATTACGGCAACTAAAACGGCTATACAGAATATCGCTAAGTTGCTGCACAAAGCTTCTGAGAGTAAGAAGAAACTAGAAGAGAAGAAAAAGAAAGAACGAGAAATTTTGGAAGCATCTAAACCCATAACAAGTTACATGAATCGAACCACATATTCAAGAACAGAGATAGCTGCTCCGGCCATTAAATCTGAACCAGTGAGCGTACCAGGTGTCGGCACAGTTGATAAAGTTGCTATTGCTCAACAGATTGCCGCGGCTCTCGTCGCGCAAGGCAGATCAAATGTCTCGCAGGAAGAACTAGAAACTCTGATTAACGCTGTAGTTGGCATGGCAGAGGCATCAAAACACTCCGATAAACCGGTCACCACTGCTGATTTTGTCAAAGGTCTAACGAATAGCGGCACTACCACTCCTCAAGTAACAGAGCCTGCCAAAACGGCGACCGTTCCTCCAGTTGAACCTACTCGATCTCAGGCTTCGAAAACAGAATCGGAAAATTTGTCGGATATCGATTTGAAAACGAAGTTGCAAAAATTTAAGGATCTGAGCACAGAGGAACAACACAGTCTCATAAATTCTCTCAAGAAGCTTGAAGCGAGCGATCCGACGAGGGTGGAGAAGTTGAGACACTTCGTTAATCTCGGCATGACGTCATCGCCAAAGTCATTATTGATAACAGGAAATATAAAATCACCAAGTTTGGAGATCGAAGCGTCCATTGGTAAAGGTAAAAAGAGTACTTCCCCGTTTTCCTCTCGTAAAGGAAATCAGAATCCAACAGACGATGAAGATAAGTGGAAACCTAAATTGGACATGTTTGCGAATGACGAAGACGAAGAACAACAAACGAAAAAAGATAGTGAGGATAAAACTAAGATCAAGACGATAGATTTGTCCGATGATGACGACGACTATACGTACGAAGATATCTACAAAGCAGCAAACAAGAATGTGAGCGAGAACGAAAAAGCGAAGAAGTCGCGTACTTTCTCGCCGAAATCATGGTCTCGATCGCGATCGCGGTCACGATCAAGATCGAAATTGAGATCGCGATCAAACTCGCCAATATCAAAATCAAAGGAAACTACGAAAACGAATGATCCCAACGCGATACTAAATGAAACTAAACGTTTGATTGCAAACATTATGTGTGACCTGCCGAACAAATACGTTCCGAAATCGCTAAGTTTAAGCGAAAAAAAAATCGAGTCTCTAACAAGTTCCAATGAGCCAGGACCGCCTGGTGCAATGCCTTTTTACAATCAAAATTTTCTTTCAAATAACAATCAGTCGCGGTCGCAAGAACAGCCGATGACCTATCCCAACTTGTCGAATCAACAATTCTCGAATTATCCAACACAGCCACAAATGTTCTCTAATAATCCCGGATATATGGATAATAGTTATAATTATCAAGGTTATGGAAATCCAATTAATTCAGTTAATCAAGGTCAATTTGGAGGACCGCCAAATCAGTACCCTCAGCAAACGTACGGTTCTTACGGTGCACCACAAACTGCGCCTCCGTCGAACTATGTTCAACAATCTCCGTCGCAGCAATACGATCCTTACATGCAACAACAGCGGTTTTATTGAACGAAATGTGCTATCGCTTCGTCAATAACTTCAATGAACATTCACGCGGGGCATCAGGTCTGCATTAGGTCAGTATGAACTCGAACGAAGTCCCGAAGCCCCGTCTCTTTCCGTGCAGAGATGCTAAGATGTCTATATAAGTTCTGCACTCGTTTTTACTCGCGCTTCATATATTTTTTACGAATGAAATGAATCAGATTCTATTTCATAATTAGTTAATAATAGATGCACAGCACTTTCGTTTCAGTTTGCTCCCATAACGTTGATCAGAAAAAGTTGTACTTACAAAATTGTGATTATAGATGTTCCATCCTATCATCCGTGTATCTCTACATTTAATTTTATTTATTTATATAAATCTAACATCTATATATCCACACATCAAAATTCCAGAGTAAAAAAAATCACATTGTTATATTGCCATTTTTTAATGAGATAGAATCTCGTTTCGAGAGTATGACTCGCAAGAATGTATCAATTGTATGTTAGGTAATAATGTTTGAAAAACTTTTTTATTTGTTGAGCGCATTTTCATCCACAACTCGCATTACGTTTTCGCGTGAGTTTTCATATATCACCGCTGCGCGGGTGCGTGTCAGTGAGTCTTATTAAACTGTGTATATTGACCGAATGTACGTCGTGTTTGAGTGAGTTGTATATGCACGAAGTGAACGTGTCGTTGTTACATATATCGTGCAACTTCGACCAAACGAAAGTAAGTAAAACAAACCGACTAATCGCCAGAGCGTGTGCATCATCACAACATAGTTTTACTATATTTGTAATATATCTAATAAAAATCGTGCTTTTGTTGCATAGAAATTGCGACAATATTTAACAATAAAATTGTGTAAAAGGCGCTTTAGGTAGAAATATTTTGCACGATATTTAGGATTCAACATTTACTATAATCAAAGTGTAATTCTTCAATAAATATATCACAAGAGTAGCACATTAATAGTATGTAATGTATTTTTCATTAATTCAAAGTAATACGAACTTCAACAACTTATCCTATGTTTTTATGGAGACAAATAATTGATTGAAAAGCATATCAATTAACAAAAAAATGAAATTAACAAGAAAAAAATAGTATCTTTAGTAATTTAAATAAAAATAGTATCTTTTATCAAATATATATACCGTATCTTTCTAAAATAATCCTTACAATGTGTAGAAATTAGGGAAAATATTTCAATTGGAAAGAAATTTTAAGAGCTATTTTATACTGTATTATTACAACAGTTACATGCTCGACGTAGCGATATATATTTACGCATTGCACAATGACTAGAGAATTGTAGACATATTCCGTTCTTTGTCCGTGTACGTCCAGGTAACCGCGAAGATTTAAATAAAGTACAAGATGCGGTTCATACAATATGTACACTCCCCTTTACAAAATGAAAAAAAGAAGCGCGCCGATCGGGGTTTCAACAATTTCATTTACTTCGGTACAAGGCCTCTGGTTTTGGGGTAAACCGGTGCCGGGATTTGCTGCATCTTGGTGACGCTCTTCGGTCTGACTCGCGCCGACTGCAAACGCGTTTTGGTTCTCAGCCTCGTGCTCGAAGCGTCGACGTCTATGTCGCCCTCGTCGCGCAGAGCTTCTTCCAAAACAGCTTGAATCGTCGGTGCAATCGCGGGTCCCTGATAATCCAAAGTCGTCCGTGCCGGCATGTCGAGATCCAAGTTCAGAATGTTCTCACCCGCATAACGACATCCTCGTCCCATCGCGAGAGCGATCCGCGCATACTCCGAAACTGGTCTACGCGCACCTGGTACGGAAGTTGGTCGTTTGATAGCATCTATACTCGATGGCTCGGGATCTTTCACGACCCAGCAATCCTCTTCTTCATCCAGATGAATTCTTGATAAAATCTTTGTCTTCTCTTCTTCGGGAATGAAGTTCTCTATTATGAGATACTTGAGCTTGAGCTCCTTCATCAATTCGTGCTGCTCCTGCTCCAAATCTCGTCTGTCCCTGTTGTAGTCGCTGGTCACGTCTTCTAGCTCCTGCTTTAGAGCTTGCAACTTGGTGAAGCACTTTCGCAATTTTCTGGATTTCACATCCACTTCTTGCTGCAACGTAGTGTAAGTCTCCCTCACGCCGACCATTGTCAACTCTTCGTCCTCTAACTTCTGTTGCATTTCGACCTCGCGCCTCTTACGTTCCGCAATTTCAGCCGCCTTTTGTTCTAATGCCCTTTGCTGTTCGTTTGTGTGATCAATTATATTCTTACCGCCGCAGAGCATCTTGCTCTCCAAATCCTTTATTCTTTGGACAAGATGCTCGGTCTCCTGCTTCTCGGCCTTTAACTGCTCCGCTATGAGCTTTTTATCGGTTTCGGACAATTTATTGTCTTCGCCTCGACTGTCGTCCGCCTCGGATTCCGAATCAATCGTCTCATCTTCTTTTTTCCTTTTCGACTTCTTCTTCTTTCGTTGCACCCCACCACCTTTCAGCGCGAGTTTCTCCTTCAGTCGACCTATCTCCTCCTGATATTGCCTCAATAAAGCGTCCTTCGGATCCTCATTAATTCTAGGCTTGTTCTTGATGTTCTTAGCACGGCTCGCGTATCGTAGAGTCGTCAAAGTCTCGTCATAATTGTAACTAGCTGGTCCAATATTCGCTACCATGATAGTTTTCGAATTACCACCTAAAGAGTCCTGCAGCAATCTCGTCAGCTTAGAGTCTCGATATGGCACATGCGTGGTTTTGCCGTCCACCAACGCCGAGATCACATTACCCAAGGCCGACAAACTCAAATTAATCTTGCTCGCTTCCTTCAGTCTCTCTCCCGAAGAACCAGTTTTACTTTGTCTTTCGCTACCAGCGAGATCGACTAGATTCAAGCGTCCCACTCTAATACCACCGGTGTCACCGATATTACCCATCTCAATAGTGATGAGAAAGATCGCATGTGACCGCGAACTGTGCTCGTTCATATTCGTTGCACCGATCGTTCTATTTTGATTGCCTACGTTCATTAAGTGCTGTATCTCCGCCGCGCTCTTACAAACGGCAGTCGACAGGTCCTTAACATACACCCCAACGTCCGGCTTCTCCTTCAGCTCGAAGCGCAGACTCTGATCCGGATGCAACAGATCGCGTATCTCCTCTTGATAAATCTCCAGATAGCTGGCCCTCACCAGATACTGCATGTTCTCCGATCTGCCGATGTGATTGAATATGTGCTCGAAGGAGCGTGGTATGACACCACGCTTCTCATGATCCGTCTTCGAACCCTCCATGGTATACGTTTTCCCGGTGCCGGTCTGACCATAGGCGAAGATAGTGCCGTTGAAACCGTCGAGTATCGAGGATACCAAAGGCCTAACCGTCTCTTCGTATAGCTCCTGCTGGCTGGAATTCCAGTCGTACACCGCGTCGAAGGTAAACACCTTGACGGTCTCGCTGGACGGGTCGTCGCGTGGATGTCGCACCTCAACCGCACCTCTGGACGGGATCACGTCGACCACGCGGGTGTGATTCCGTGCAATCTCCCGCTCGTCCATCGGTCGGCATCGCACGACCACCTGCACGCATTGCGTCGCTACCTCGGTGACCACGCTCGACTTCATGCTTTTCTTCTTCCAGGTCTTCTGCTGGTTGTCTAATTTTTCCATACCGGCGATGAAGTACACAGCTCTCCTCTGCAAAGCACGGATTTATTGATCATGCTTCATCCTGACTGAATTTGTTTGCTTTAAATGGCTCTCTGGCTAATTAGTATTTAATATTTTCTTCTTTTTTTTTTTTAAACTATTTTTTGTACAATCGAAGTCGATACATGTACATACCAATTATCTTAAAATTTCGATATTCTTGCCTTATAGATATCTAGATAATATTTCAAAAGCCATGCTATCGTGTTGATTGCACTATTATCATTATACTTACTGATCATGTGTTTCTTAGAAAAAAATCATGAAGTTTAATTTAAAAGAAATATTTGCGTTTGAATATTAAATTGTCTCTAAATAAAATTTGAATACATAATTTCAAACTAAAAGTTTCATCTTACAAATTATGTATTCACATGTTAATAGAATTCTAATCTTATTGAAAGATTAAAATTTATATAAATTAGTAATTTATGTAAATTTTAATCAATTATAATGAAAATAAACTTCTTTTTTACTATAACAATCTTTTCAACGTTTTTCATAATTCAATTTTACATATAACGATCGATCTCTTTAATGAATTTATCTGTTCAAGATGAAAGAATGTTTGACAATAGTCAAAACAAATGAGATTGTATTAGTTGTTTTCCGTGAATGATAGCATTTTATTTAAAATAAAATAACAAAGAATGGCAATTGTGTTACCGAAACTTCATGCAATAAGAAACTTAAAGAATTTTGCACGCATCATCACGTAGATATACGTCTAAATAGTACAACCTTATTCTTCAATCAGTCCACCGTGACCTACGATTGCTCAATATTATGCATTGTTTACAATACAATACGGAGTAAGAAGAGTAAAGAAATTGACAATCATAGTCGAATGTAAGAATAATCGATTGTAATTGGTCCATTTCTTAGTCTTATTCCAAGTATTGTAGATGACGCATTACTTTCGTGAATACTTCGTCGCCATGCATACACACACAACATTCCAAATCGATAAAACTTGGCACGAAAATGTTTTATAAAAGTCATACTATGCAATATTAACCGTACATTACATCATAAAATTTGAATCATTTTTTATTTATATGTAATTGATTACTAATGTTCACACGATACTTTTTGAATTTTTATTATATAGTATTACTTTTCGAATTCCTTTTTGTGTAAAAAAAAACAACAAAAGTGCAAGTGTAATCTTTACACGTTCTGTGGATTGAAAATAGATTTTGGAGCCTCGATATCGCCTGCAGATGTCTAAGGCATATATCGACCATTTTCCAATTACATTTTAAGTGCGCTCGACTGCATTCCAGTCTTGAAATAGTATTGAAATAACAGGATGTATCATTAGAATTCAAAACAAATCGTCACCACACAAACAAGAAAGACTCGTTTGGCATTTTGTATTAAATAATCAGATATTTATTTTATTCTCTATTAAAAATCATCATACGAGATACTTCGTCTATCAAATTATAATCGTTATTCTATTCTTCGAGAAATTATTTGAACACAACTTTATAGAAAATGTTTATATAATAAAAAAAATATTTATTTAATATTTATCGAGACATATCTGGTATTCATTTTTAAATTTCTTGTCAATTGAGAATTTACAGTCATTTACAAGGAACTTATTCTATAAAATTTAAAAATAAAATAATCACAAGAAAGTCGCGAAACCATTTTTTATGGGCTGTATCAAGATGCAAAGTCTGTCAATAATTTAAACACAGCTTTATGGAATATCTGCAAGAAAAAAAATACATATTAAATTTTTGATATATTTATTTTTCGTCGATCGAGAGAATTTGTAATAACGCAAGGAATTATTCTATAAATTTGAAAATAAAATAACCAGAAGAAAATAATCGTGCAACCTTCCTTTTTTATGCGCTGTGCCAAGATACAATAAAGATTTTTCAATAACTTAGGACATTTTTATAGAATATTTTCGACAAGAAAAAACGTAAAAGCTACATATTAAATTTGATATTTATTAAGAAAAGTATATTTATAATTATCTATCGATAACGTTGATCGAGAGCTTGTATGGATTTGCAAAAAACTAAGTACCCGATAAATTTTAAAACAAATCACAAAAAAATAAGTGATCGAAACCATCTTTTTTTATACGCTATACTAAGACGCAAAGACGATAGAATCCGCAGTACTTACCGTACGGTCAAGGGTTAAATATACAAAATGTACATGCACGTCACGTAACGTCACGTAATGTCAAGGGGGAAGAAGCGACGAGCAGAATCCTCTAAAGATTCACTTGTGTCCGCCGATCGGAAGAAAT